TCCAAGACTACTGTTGGGAGTAGAGCATAGCCATGTCCAAAAGACCAAGATTCTAGTTTGATGGCGGTAAATTTGTTTGGTAATCGAGTCGAGTGTCACTCTTCAAAGCCGGCGGGGAAGTGCCAGGTGGCGACAAGATAATGTACACCTAGCATATGAGTAATGGAAATCAGAGAGTTTCGGGTGCCAGACTAAAGCAGTTGGTAATTCGGAGTACATTGTTAATGCGACATGAAGAGCCTGATCACAGGGTGCCGATGGTAAACTTGCGCATGCCCTTTTTAGGATAATTCTTCGAACCATCTGACTAATGGTATGGTGTTCCCGACAATCAGTCGGCCTTGACATTGGGGAACGGACTACTTGGCTTCCGAATATCGTTGCGTTCTATATTAAGCTACGCCGTTAGTTGTCCAGGATGTACACAGTTAGCCGCAACACGGCATATACTAATTGCCTACCTGATGATCGTCTCCACACCTCCCAAGTCTCTGGTGACAATACTCTGTCTCTGGCGGTGTGACGAGTAATGGCGTGTCATATTTGGGTACCAACAGATGTTGGGAACCTGCATCGCGTCTGTATCGTACGTCTATCGCATCTGTAATCAGATTTCGGACCGACTCACTTATGTTAGGATATCCCTTGAAGTCAGCATATGCTAAACAGTGAACACGCAGCTTTGAACCCTTCGCTGAGGACAGAATCCCGATCCCAAGAATTCCAACCCTAAGTGACAGTTCGGATGCTCGGTATGACGGCGACACCAACGATCAATACCCGGAACGTAGAATGGTAGAATCGGACGTCCTTCCTGTTTGATTGGACGATCGATACGCGGGTGAGATCTCACATTATGCGGATCCGTCACACCGCGTGTCGCCAGAATGAGGATGTCGGTTCAAAGCGGCCGGCAGTTGTCTACGCATCTTGTGAAACCTTAAGCGCTTCGGTAAGCGCTGACTCGCCCACATCAAGCAGCGCATAGAGACTATGACGTTTTACCGTAGTCGGAGCTGGTCGTGTTATTGATGTTTCAATAATCTTCCTTCTTGGTGTCAGAATAGCATTGTCCGAATCGAGTAGGCAAGGTGAATGCTAAAGTATGCTCGTCTCCAAAGTGCATCACCGCATGTCCCGACAGCTTGGTAAATGCGGCACGGACAGGGCGTAAATAACCCCTTACATATCTCGATAGGCTTTGCTTATCCGGGAGCCTGGCGTGCTGTTCACCTGCCGGGCGTAAACATTGGAAGGGCTCGTTTGGCTGCAACAGGGCGGACTTCGGAGTAATCGTCGTGTACTAGCGCGCGATCCTGCAATCAGCATCCAGTACGTTACACCAGTTTGCTCCGAATCTGTTCGCTAGAAACGCAGTTCTCAGTAGTCGTTGTCTGATGCGAAAGTTGCGGAATCGGTTGAAGCGAACAGTCGGTACCATATTGTCGGGAAACGATGAGTTCACCAGTAGTTCCCTCGCCAGTACATCGAAATTCTTGATCGATCCCAACAACTTACGCCGGGGAGGTGCGTTGGTAATCCGTCTGGTCTATGCATCCTGCCAACGCCGCATACGTAATCGGAATTGCTGGCGAACTGTGCCGCAGCCCGGCATACTCGCATCCCGAGCAACAATGGCCAAATGGGTAGATTGCGCGAAGCAACGTTGCTGGACTACATGTCCGACATGGCAATAGAGTATCGTTTTGTGATTTGGAAACCTTAGTACAGAAAGGTTGCTGGTGTCGTGAAGCTATCAAGCTTGAGTGTAGCACACTAGACAAAAATCTGGACCACGTCCGACTCAGGCCGCAACACTCTACCGAAGAGGAATCCTTCGGATCCTGTCGGTGAGGCCGTGTCTGGAGAAATGCCGAATCTCTTCGGCGAAAAGAGCGCGAGTACCGCTGTGAGCAGTCTTGAGCTGTTGCATGCTGTTAATGCTCGCGATGGGTTAGTGCGACCGTGGGTATTTGTTTCGGGACCCAGCGACGACGTCAACAGCAAGCGTGATCATCTGAGTTTGCATAACAGGTCCAGATAAATGCATAATCAGGTGCGACATCATCGCAGTCAGGTTGGTCACGGAAGGTGGCGCTCCACAATCAATATGAATGGAGAATCGAGATTTGGCACGGAGGTGGGCGGCGTATGTAGACGTTGGTGACAAGCGCGCTGTTCCGCGCTTCCCGTCGCTACTCGAGTCATATAGCGGAAGGATGAGGCGAGGCTGAGAGAGAGCAGACGTCAGCTCCGTGAGCACCATGGCAAGGGCTGAGCCGTTCTTGGAATCCAGCGGATTGGAAATCCAGCGGGCGGCACAGCTGTGAGGACAATGCCGTACGGCCTGCGGCGCAGGTCCAGGTCTTTGTCTGATCACTAGCGGGAACGGAACGCGCCGCGAGAACCAGCGAGACGGACTGATGGAATTGTGAAGAAGCTGCGCACGCATAACACGAACCACATTTGCAGTGAGTTACAGCGACAAGTCGCAGCCGACAAACGGCCGCGCTTAACGAGGCGTTATTTCGTGTGCAATGCGTGGCGAAACTGATGAGGTGCTATTGGCTGACGCACCGGGGTTGCTCAGACGCATGACCGATCGTCGAGCAACGCGTGAGAGTCAGACAGTGCTCCGTACAGCATACAACGGGTAAGTTGCGCACCTGCCAATTAGCCGAGGACAGACATCGCGGCTCTTGACGTATGTAGTGGTGGAGGTTTGACCATATTGAGCGGGCGGGTTCCTGGCGAGCAAAGTTTGCACGCGAAGCGCCCATAGATGAAGGTGTACGAGACGGGCCGGGCAGCCAACCATGGAGGGTATCACGCAGCAGACAGTGGCACTCGCGACTTGGATATGGAGCGCAGCACAAGCATTAGGCCTATGGCAGTGCCGCAGCCGAGCATATTGATGATGCTAAGGGCATAGGACGGGTGGGCGTGGTGGGAAGGTGTGCGGCGTGGATCTGATAAATGAAACACGGCGAGACCCATGAGCGCCTTCTTGTTTGGTGCTGGCCTTGAAACCGGCGGAGGCAGGCACCCAGCAGGCCTCTGAGCAGGCGGTTAGGAGGAGGCAGTGCCGATGGGCCATGACGGCACCCCTTGATGGAAGCGCGCGGGAGGCCGGGCGATACGCAGCGCGTGGTGGTGAGTCGGAGTGATTCGCAGCCGTCATCGCAGGCGTCGCGGGCGCCGTCAGGCGGGGGCTGCCATTGTTTTGTGTGCTCGCTATGTGTCGGGCAGGCTGCGGTGCCGCGGTCTGGTGAAGAGTTTGGTGGTGCGCGGGCGTGCAGCGCGGCTACTGCGTTTGGCGATGGAGCAGGTGGATAAGCTAAGGTTTGGGCAGCGCCAATAACAACGACACAGCACTTTAATGTGAGGTTTCCGCGTTGGCTTGCATCCTTCTAACGATTCCTGGTGGATCAACCTCGCATGCCAGCACGCCGGGAGCGCTGGTCGCACGCAGCCGTCTGTGCCATCCTGGAGGCCTCTCCGCCCACTCTACCCTCCTTCACACCCAGAAAACGGCTGTAGGGCTGTAGACGCGACTTTTCCGCCAAAAAAACGTGGCAGCGGCCAAAATGCAGGGTCTATTATGTAGATAGTCGAAGGAACCGCGTCTGTGGTCCTTCTACGAGGTGTTCGGTGATGGTTCTGTGCCAGCCCGGGTGGGACAGATAAACGCGGGGGGCAGGGGCCGCCTGCAGCTCGGGCCAATGAGGAAGGGACGACATGGGTGGCCGCCCGGGATGTGTAGAGCCCATGTGTGCGCCAGCAGAAGGAGCGAACAGCCGCCCTCCGTTGAATCCTGTTGCTCATCCGTGGCCAGCGTCTGGCGTCGGGTCGCCCCTCCCACATTCGTCGCGCCATATACTGTCTTCCCGCCATATACAGCCCCCGCCGTGGAGAGGCGGCTTCGCTGGCATCGCATCGCCCGAACGACACCACGCCCGCGCTGCCAACCCCGGGATCCTCCCTCTACGCACACACTGACTCTGAAGAGCACAGACGACTCCCGGGCCACCAGTCATCGAGTCCCGCACGGTGCCTGACCTGACCGTTGAACTCATCTTACTCCGAGTACGCTACAGTGTAACCACGACACTGTCCCCGGCATCACTCAAGATCGTCACTGCAAAGACTCTCACGACCCCAACGAGACACCAAGATTATGGTCGCTGGACACCCTCCCCATAGCCCGCCGTAGATTCGACTTGACTCCGTAGACTATCCAGCCTTGACCCCCAGCTCTGATATCCCGCCTTGGACATGTCGACCATACTGCATATGCCCGCCTTTAATTCCGCTCCCCATGGCCCTGCGTTTACTTCCGTCAATGGTCGATTGTCTCTGAGCCCGCCCGACGAGAAGAAGCCAGCCGTTGCCGCCAAACCTTCTGCCTGGAGTCCCGTCTCCCCAGATCTTGAGCCCAAACATCACTCCCGCTCCCCAGAGAGCGACACGAGTTCGTCCACTGTTGGCAGTGGAGATCGATCTCCTGATAGTTCAGACAAGACAAGGTCTTCTCCTGAACACCCAAATAAGAGAAGACGCTCCGGCTCCGAAGAAGACGCCTACGGCCAACACAGCCCTGATCAGAGGACCGCTGGCCCCAGGCAACTTCCACTTCCATACCAGCCCTTGAACCGCAACACAACCATGAGCATGGAAGCCCCTCCACTACCGACTCTGCCTCCACTAGGTCGTCCAGACGCTGAACGACGCTGGCAAACCGAGCCCCGTGAATTGCCTCACGCAGCCCATCAGCATTTTCAACGCCATGAATCGCGTCCTATCGAGCACACCCGCACCAATGACATGTCTCCTGATTCGCAGTCTCTTAGCCGTGACATGATCGAAGAGACTGAGTTCACGCGGGCTGGTGTACAGGTCGAGCTCAAGAAGCGAAAACGGGTATGTACCCTGAGCCTAACCCCTGACCAATACTAACCTCCACAGCAATTTGCCAACCGCACCAAGACTGGCTGTGGAACATGCCGTAGGAGGAAGAAGAAGTGCGACGAGGCCAAACCAGAATGTACGTTTGAAAATGGCTTCCTGTTCTGACCAAGTCTGACCTCTATCAGGCAACAACTGCACACGCGGTGGCTTTGTCTGTGAAGGCTATGCCAACAAGGTACCTTGGCCGAAGAATGGACCCGCCAAACCACCTGCACTGATAGCCAAGGACAAGCTCGCTGCCTACCCTACGTGCCCAACTTGTCAAGAAACGCACACACCTCACTGCAGACCACCTCATAGCACTGAAGTGTCATACACACACTCTGAGATGCATTCAACCAATGGTATCGATCGCAAGTCATGGAAACCTTGGAGTGACTCTGCGCCTGCACCGCCACCAGTTCGAGCTGCCTACCAGCCAGAACCGCCGCCACCACCACCATCAGTACAGTACATGCAACCTGCGGTCAACCACTATGAAAGGCCTTCAAGCCTGGACCATAGACCTGTGCATCAACAGCAACAGCAGCCTCACCACAGTTCTCGTGGTTATCACCATGCTCCGCCAAGCACGACCCACCTCGCTATCAACACTGCTGTCCCTACCACTATGTGAGTATTTTCTTCTGATTGGGAACCGACCGAATTGTCAACAACTTTTCGACATCAGATCATGTCTATTTCATGTGTTTGATCTTTGACTTGAATTTGGACACACTCGGACTTCATCAGCTAACACATTTCTAGGGCCGCCAAGCCTATCCAGCAGCTGCATGTGGCACCGCAGCATCAGCCTCCTCCACCACCACCAACATCCTTGCCACCTACGCGTTCACCGACACGCTACTCCTCGACGTCTACATCGACCATGTACAGGTCTGAAAAAGACAAGATGCTTGCTGGAGAGCCATTCAACCCCTTTGACAAGGCCTTGATGCAAGAGCGTCATTTGAGCGCGCAAGCACAATCTTATTTCAACGGCAAAGTCAACCCCTCCAACGTTCTATCGAGTCACACGGTCGACCACTTTTTCAAACAAATCCTGAACGCGGGTAAGAGAGGCGAGGAAGGGAGACGAATCGAAACTCATATGGCTGAGACCTGTCATGTTGCTGCGCCCTTTGCTTGCGACTACGGCTACCATCTGAGTTTGGGTGAGAATGTCGTCATCGGCGCTGATTGTCGTTTTCATGACTCGGCGAGGATTGCCATCGGAAGGAACTGCAAGATTGGGGTTCGAGTCACTATACAGACTCTGAAGACGCCGACCGATACAAAATCCCCAAAAGGCAGCAACGGCGGCACAGAGGTTGCGCAGGAGGTCCTTATCGGGGAGAACGTGTACATTGGTGATCACTGCATGATCGCGGCTGGAGTCCAGATCGGTCCTAACACCATAGTGCGTCCGGGTTCTGTGGTTTTAAGCGTAAGTTCATCACCACATTTTTTCAAGCACTTTTATACTGACCTCGCGTAGTCTTTTCCCGCCAATTGCATCGTGCAAGGGAACCCCGCCACCAATATACTCTAAGTTGTTCAACGTGACAACGTCTTGCGCTTCTACTGTCTTTTAGACGTTTTGTTGCGCTGAGGAGATGCCGGGGTCGAGTTAACCTATTTGATATGGGTCATGTATGTCATATTAAGCGCCACTGTGTGGTGCAGGAGTTTCGGTGTTTCTACAACTGGAGGATACCCATTGCTAAAATTTCTTGTTATTTATGGAAGGGAGAGAGGAACCAGTATATAGTGGTACGTTGAGCACGGGTGGTATCTGACTTGTATAGTCTCCTTGTATCTTGGTACCTTGTGCCTGCTGGACATGGCTCTAAAAGCTCAAAAACATAACATCTCCTACACGCGGTCGCTTCAATCAATAACTGCGCTTCATTGAACAGACATGCTGAATTTGCCTGCTCGCGGGTAGACATGCATGTTCCATGACTGCGATTACCTACCCCGCCATGACCTACTAGTGTGCATTGAGCCTAGCTCAGATCTTGGCCGTGAACAGAACTACACGTGCGCAGCATGGCCCGTGCACTGAATCTGAGCTTCAGGCCGGGAATCTCAAAATATCCGCGGCGAACAAGCCAGCGCCGCATCTCCAACGCAACAACACCACGACTACAATGCCGCCCAAAGCGCCCCTCAATTGGGGCTTACTACCGCCGTCCTTCCTCCTCCCCTCATCAGCGCGCTGCCTCCTCCAGCAAAATGCGCAACAAATCTCCTCAAGACCCGCCATCGCATACACATCGATCCGAACCATAAAATCTACCTTCGGTCCCAAACCCGACCGTTTCGCACATCACCCCGCGCGAGAAGCCCTCACCAGCACATCAACGGCAGCGCTCGAGCGAAAAGCCCACAGCACGCCCCTGCGAACTGGTCTTCTCGCTTTGAAGAAGGGCATGACATCGATCTACGAGCCCGAAACGGGGAAACGCACAGCATGCACTGTTCTGCAACTCGACCGCAATGAAGTCGTGGCGCATAAGCGGAGAGATATAAACGGGTACTGGGCTGTCCAGATCGGGGCTGGGCAGAAAGAAGCGCGGAATGTTACGAGGCCTATGTTGGGTCATTTTGCGGGTGCGGGCGTGAGTCCCAAGAGATGGGTTGTTGAGTTCAAGGTTAAAGATGAGGAGGGATTGGGCGTTAGTGTCGGGGAGATGGTGGGTGCGGGGTGGTTTACAAAGGGGCAGTGGGTGGATGTTAAGGCGATAAGTAGGGGCATGGGATTCGCTGGTGTAAGTTCTGGGTCTCTATCTGTTCATGAGGACGGGCAGTGCTAGTTGGGATGGAATGCTAACGGGTAATTTGTGCAGGGCATGAAACGACACGGCTTCGGTGGTCAACCAGCTTCTCACGGTCAATCGCTCATGCATCGTGGTATGGGTTCTGCGGGAGGTTCCCAGGGTTCGGGTTCTCGTGTGTTGCCTGGAAAGCGCATGGCAGGTAACATGGGAAACGAGAGTGTAACGGTCAAGAACTTGAGGGTGCTGCAGGTTGACGAGCCGAATGGTATTGTGGTTGTTCAAGGTACGAGATGCATATCACGATCAAACATGAGTTGGTGCTAACAGTTTGTTTTTAGGTTGTGTGCCTGGACCGAAGAACCAGATCATTCGCGTTCAGGATGCGAGGGGAAAGCCGTGGCCGAAGGGACCCATGTCGACGGCTGAACTCAAGCCAGAGCAAGTTTTGGCTGAGGCGGGTGTGCCTGATGCTACGGAAGCGACGACAGTCAGTGCTTAGAAACACATGAACGAGACCATGGAGGAGGCATTGTATCATATGGCAGAGTGAGGTGCTTCGGCTTGGATATCGAATGGCATGCATTTGGCGAAGCAGCACGAGTGTACGAGTATGCACACGTTAGTTTAGCAATGAATGGGGTGCTGATGTGATGGTAGTTGTGTCGTCCCACCACACCTAGGGATGAAATAAGAAAGAAACATCATATTACCAAGTCGTTACACATTTACATCATTTCGTCAAGCTTCATCTCATCATCTTCACGCGCACCCTTCCCATCGTTATCACCACATCTTCCCATATGCCCTCCCACCAGCACCTGCTCTCTCAACACCAGCAACCCTAGCACCCCAAGGATCCTTCTCACAAACATCACTCCGCCCATCATCGCTAGAAGCATAGTCACTCCCCTCCGCCACGCCATTCCCACCCCCACTAATCCGCTCATCATCCTCGCTATCACTAGGAAGATAGTCGCTCCCCTCCGCTACACCATTATCATCACTGTCACTTCTATACCTCCCAATCCCCCTCCCTTTTCTAACAGGTGTACTACGAACAGGAGATGACATGTAAGGACTCCTGTTTCCTCCTCCCCTTACTGGTGCATAGGGACTTGGACTCCTACTCACGCTTCGGAAGGCGCCGGGCATGGGGGCGTAGTCGCTTCCGCTATCTCGATGCCGTCGGAATAGAGGTGGTGGTGAAGGTACTGCAGGGGGTGGCGAATGGTAGTCTTCTGAGTCTACGGCTGTGGGGACGCGGGAGAGGCGGTCGGAGTGTGAGGAGCTGGGTCGAGATGCTATGTCTGACAATGCGGCTGTGTGGGCGCCAGGTCTATGGTCGGAGTACGTTGCATGGTCGTCATCGCTTGAGTATGTTGAACTGCGTCGGTGACGGGAGTGGTCTACATGTCTTGGAGGAGGAGGAGGAGCTGAGAAGCTGCTGGCCTGATGGAAGGAGCTGCCCGGGCGGTGTAGACTGGGCCGGACAGATCGGGGATCTGGATTCCTTGTACGAGGCTCACGATGGTTGCGGCGGCTATCCTCCTCGAATCGGTGGTAAGACTCTTCTCCATTCCTCCAACGAGTGCGTTGACTATGGTGTCTTTCTCGGTAATTGTGTGGACTTGGCGCGTAGTCATCTTCATCATCTTGCTCAGGGTCTGGGTGTCGCCCGGAGAATCTGTCTTGGCGATTCACTGGGATGCGATTCGCTGGGCTACCATCGCTGTAGGATTCGGTGTCGGACCGATCCGTTGTATGAGTGTGGAGCTGTTGGAAGCGGTCGAGAAATTGCTTTGCTTCGCGGTAGTTCTCGTGTTCCCTAGGGTTCAGGCGGGGCGGTTGGCTGAAGGAATCACTATTGCCCCAGCCTGCTTTTACCCTCCGATCTTCGGAATTGGCTTTGGGATGAGGAGCATAGTCTGAGGGGGGACTATCACTGTAGTTCTCTGGAGGAGGGCGGCGGATCGGAGAGCCATTGCCCAGGGAATCGTCCGTGGAACGGTCATCGTAGCGAGACCCACGATTTTTCCAAGCATCTTTCTTTACTTCAGGCGTGGCTATGTAATCTTCGTCAGACTGAGAATCTTGTGCGATGCAGTCTGGATCTGAAGACTGAGCCCGATACTGTGGTCGCCCAGACGGTCGTGGTTGATGCCTTGGGTGATGCTGTGAGAAATCGTACACGTTCCTTGGTTCTCTTGTCTGCGTAGCGTATTCGGATGCCATAGCCCGATTCACATGTCGCCTATGATTGGGGGGTAAATCTTCGTAGTATCCACGACGTGGGGTGTCGTAGTCCGAGCTCGAATTCGTGGGCGACGAGACGTAGTTTTCTGAATGCTGGGTATCCCGGTAACTACGCGGGACTTGGCTACTATATCTCGGTGCTGCACGGTGTGAGCTGCTCTGCTTCTGACGGCTTCGGCTGCTCTTGTGTGGTTGGTCCCACATGCTGCTGGGAAACGCGTGGAAGCACCACGATCTAGTGATTAGTCGACGTTGAGCTGCGTAATTGGGTTATGCAGTCTCGCAGAGGAGAGGTTCAGGCTGCGAGTCGCTTCATTTCGTTGTCGTGGCTAGCTACTGGAGAGTAGGGAAAGGCGTCATGCAGAACCACGTGGTGGGCGTCTAACCGCAAGTAAAACGCGCTAGTGTCGCATCGGACCAATCCTCACCAGTCCGCCATCTTCGATGCTTCAACACCATCACCATCACAACCCGTCCGTGCGATGTTGTCTCCCACCACCCGTTCTATAGCCGGGAAGTAAACTTAAAGATGGAAAGTTTGCGCGTCCACCAACCCGGGAATCTTTGGTGGATGGCGCGCTTGCTAACCGTGACAGCTGACAGCGCTAACTGATCGCGTCACCACTGCAACCAACGACATTCGCAATGATGAAGAACGATTCAGGCAATGCTTGATTAGTCTTGTCTTCTCCTCTTGTTCATCACATTTCATCTCTCGTCAGCCTTGCGCTCTCGGACAAACCTGGTTGCTGTTGCAGATTCCACCTATCGGAACAATCACTCCTACAGAACCCCGGGATTTCGCAAAGCTCAGCCTCGTGAGCCACAGACCAGGTCTTCTACCCTCCCGCAAGGGGCAGTCCTGTCATCTTATGTCGGATAAGCTTAATCAATATGTTTCCGTCGAGTCTGGCCCGGGCACGGTTTTGTGGAGCTAGTGGCTGCCCTGTTATGTTCATGAAACGACAACAGCGGGACTGCCGGGACTAGACTCGTTGCGAAGCTACTTCCGCAACGCCATTCTGTTTGTAAACGCCCATCAATCAACCTATCCATGGATGCATGAGCACCAAACTACGCACTGTCGACATGTTCATGACTCTTTGGTGGTGGAAGTATCTTTCCGCCCGCTCCAGGCACTGGTATGCGCGTCCTGGCTTCTAGTAGCGATTCGAATTGTCCGATACCCACTGCCGTCGGTGATGAACGGCGTCAAAGGGTCCAGGTGCATGCTCGGAAGGAACATACCCCCGTAGGTAGAGTGAGTGGGGCGTGCTTCAAACACCAGCCAAGAATCCTACGAGATATAAAGGAACGGGACAGCCACCGGCTATCGTATCATCCAGTTCTTAGCATCATTCTCTCATTCTCTCATTCATCACCTGTCATTCTTTTCAGCAAACTGTGTTTGCTATCCATTCTTTATCTTCGACTCGATAACTTTTCACTATGAAGTACCAACTCTTCGCCGCCGTTGTCGCGGCTTTCGCTTCCAGCGTCAACGCTGCTGATGCCGTCAAGGGCGCTGCTGAGGGTTTTGCAAAGGGTAAGCATTCGGTGCCATATTCATCACCGCTCTATGCTAACACATTCCAGGTGTAACTGGTGGAGGCAACGCCGCACCCGTCTACCCGACCAGCACCGCTCAGCTCATCAGCTATCTCGGCGACAACTCCCCTCGCACCATCGTCCTCACCAAGACCTTCGACTTCACTGGTACCGAGGGCAAGGCTACCTCCTCCGGTTGCCGCCCATGGGGTACCGGCTCCGGCTGCCAGATCGCCATCAACCAGAACGGATGGTGCGACAATTACCAGGCCAGCGCTCCCAAGGTTGGTAGCATCACCTACGACAAGGCCGGTGTACTAGGAATCACCGTCAAGAGCAACAAGTCTATCATCGGCCAAGGCACCAAGGGTGTTATGAAGGGCAAGGGTCTCCGCATGACTGGCGGCGTTAAGAACATCATCATCCAGAACATCCGCATTACTGAGATCAACCCTCAATACGTCTGGGGTGGTGATGCCATCACCGTCGACGGCGCCGACATGATCTGGATTGACCACGTCACCACCGACTTGATCGCCCGTCAGCATATTGTCCTCGGTAACACTGCTTCCGGCAAGGTCTCCATCACCAACAACGAGATCAACGGTGCCACCGCCTGGTCTGCTACCTGCGACAGCCACCACTACTGGGGCATGTACTTCACCGGTGCCAACGACATGGTCACCCTCAAGGGCAACTACATCCACCACACCTCCGGCCGCTCGCCCAAGGTTGCTGGTAACACCCTCCTCCACGCCGTCAACAACTACTTCTACGCCAACTCCCAGCACGCTTTCGAGGCCGACTCTGGCGCCAAGATCATCGCTGAGGGCAACGTCTTCCAGAATGTCAAGGAGGCTGCTCAGTCTGGCCTTCCCGGCAAGGTCTTCGCTGTCGGCAACAACGGCGCTGCCTGCAAGTCTGCCATGGGTCGCAACTGCGAGCCCAACGTTTACGGCAGCTCTGGTACTCTTGCTGGCTCTGACACCAGCATCCTTGCTGGCATGAAGGGCAAGAACATTGCCGCTGCCGGCACCGCTGCCAGCGCTAAGAACGTCCAGCAGTCTGCTGGTTACGGAAAGATCTAAGCGAGTCTGATAGAGTCAGCTGTTGCTTAGAGGTGTGTGGATTCATCTGTTCTTGTAAATATCTTCTATTACTTCGTATATATCCTTTTGAATTGGAGATTTGTTTTCTCTCCACTGTTGAACTTGTCTTTGTGCTTTCTTTGTGACTTTCGTGTTGGTCAGTGTTGTGTGACTGGAAACCTTGCTGTGACGTTGCGCTGTTAAGCGTTTGTTCCACGCGCAGGTGAAGGTCAAAGTGAAGGCCAAATTGATGTTCGCAATTGGCGTGAAATGGCATTGTGAGGCGGGTCAGCTGTGGCTATCAATGTCTTGACGCGACTACTTTGCGAGCAAGCTTTGCTTCCTTCACCACACAACAGCTCTACTCGAGACCCATAATTATATAACAGGAACCTAGTAACACCGGCCTGATATCATGTCATTGACGGGCCATCGTACCCCGTCTGTCCCGCTTCTGCGCAACGGCGAAGAGTGCAACATCATGTAAGATATGCCGCAAACATACCTATCCAACTGCTAACACTACAGAAGTGCTAGACGCAACCAGTTGATGTCCCCGCTCTTGAAGCTCCCAGTAGAGCTTCGAGTCAAGATCTACGAGTACACATTCACCGATTCCACCGTCCACATCTCGCTATACGAACCCACTGGCACTCCTCGGCGACCCCCACCTAAATCTGCAGCTCTACTCTACGTGTCACGTCAGATCAAGTATGAAGCATTTTCCATCTTCATTAGTACCTGCACCTTCGATATCACCTCTTGTTGGTTCTGGGATAGGCTTGTAAAGATTGTGGGAGCTCACAACCTCAAGCTCATGACCTCGCTGTTGGCTATGCCAGGTTGTATGCTCAGTCTCATAGAGCATATAGACAAAGCTGATTGGGAGTTGCTCCAATCGCTACGGCATGTGAGGGTGCTTGTTGACCCGCAATATGAAAAGAGTTCGCAGATCTTACTCCGGGGAATACGCTGTCACTTTTCGAGGGAGATGCCGTGTGTCACTATTCAGGAGGTCGAATCAAGTGCGAATTGACATCGTTCTGAAGAACGCACTTCTTCGAGATCCGGCTCGTGAAAAGAGGGTCGAGACGAAAGAGCATATTCGAGGATGGAAGTAACCGGTTCGTCAAGGAGCCCAAACCTAAAATTTGTGGTTGCTTGGTTACAAGCTTGCTAGCGGAGGAAAGCTCGAGTGGTAAGGGTTAGCTGTGTTATGTGTCAAGTCCGGCGAGATTGATTATTCGGGGCAAGTGGATTCCAGGAGCCGTGGGTCGACGGTACCGACCTCGAGATGCAAGAGGTACTCAGTATATCCGATCAATGTCATGTCTACGGTAGTGTGAGACACCTGTCACTCAATACGCATTGTATGGAAATGATATTACGATGCAAGTGCAAAAGATGGAGTTGGCTCGCGGATGTAGCGCCGCCTAGACCATGAAGCACGTGCACTCACTGCGTCATCGACAATGCAGATATCTCGAGGCTGGTCGTGCCAACCCCCAACCCCAGTTTCCCCGCTACGTACCTGCATTTAACGTTGAGCCAAAAGTGGTGATGTATGTGCGCAATGGGCCATGGTGTCGGATAGGCCGGCAAATCAGCAAGTACGTGAGTCTTGGCAATACCATCCACGGAACTCGGCTCGCTCCCTCACGGGGCTATGATGACGTTGTTCAACTCCAACTAGAGCTGCGTCCATGGAAACATTGCCAATCATAGTCCAATTTTCTTTACGCCCAGCCAGGCGACCAGCGGCGCGGACATGGAGCGCGTCTTTTCAGTTGTCAGAGGTTTCGGAGTCACTGCCGATTATGCGGTGAGTCCCGTGGCGCGAGTGGCTGGGACGCTATACAAACACGGCAGATACATCAGGCACTCTTCACGGCGCAGGCGGCGAGGGCCTCTGAAAGACAATCGTGCGACAGGAAGGCTCTCATAATATCCAGTCGTTCTAAGTATTGCTATTGTCACGTCGATCACGCATAGCGCAGCCCGATACTGTCTGACATGGCTGTGCCAAAGGCGGGTCATGATGAGCGCCGAGCCCCGGACAAGCTTTTAGACATCCGCGCTGGTAGTTGGAACGGCGCAGCAGGGAACGGACGAGCGTCGCGCCTTATTTTAGGTAGGGCCATGCCCATGTCTTTACGGGCTGCCATTCCGCTTTCTGGAATCCGGCGATCACTTTCAGCGTCCTTCCCCGGTGTAGGACCGACTCCCAAACGACAGCATGCTTCGATATGACAATATCCTCAAATTCGCCCTCGTTCCGTCGATCGTCTTCCTCCTTCTCTCGATAGTCTCGGTGGCGTTGACAACACATTACTGGATCCTTACAGACTGGGTTATTCCTCGAGGTCTCAAAGTAGTAACGAGCGAGTTCAATGACCGGCTGCAACAATATGTCGTCGATGACACGATTGTCTATTTCAGAGAGGCGCCGACAGATGCCACTATTGTATCCGGATGCTTGAACCTGACGGCAGCCGTGGTGGCTCTTATTGCCTGGAGTACTCTGCGCAAACCGGATATGGACTCGCAATACAATAGCGTATGTATTAACGACCTCAAGCCGAAGCACTCACATTAATGTCCAGTAGAGCACACGTCGCTTCTGGATGCTCAGCATTGTTGTCACCACTATTGCTGGTTCCGCCACGGCTATCGCAGCTGTCGTGCTTCACTACACCGAGCGAGGCGACGATAAGTGGGGCTGCACTTCCGAAAGGCTCATGATGAGTGGTCAAATGAACACCAACGTGTACTGTACGCGCGAGATGGCAACATGCAATTACCAACCGGGCTTTATCCCGAGGGGAGACCGTGAAAATGCCAGCGTAGCATGCGCCGAGGCGGTCAGTTACAAGCAAGTACATCGCGACACGACTCACTAACATCATTACAGGTTACCGTCAAGTGGTTGCAGATCGTAATGACCGTTAACGCACTGATATTGCTGGTGATGTTCTCTCTGCAAGCATTCTTACGAAGAAAGTCACGACAAGCACGATTGAATGAACCAGTACCGGAGGAAAAGATGGAAAGCGACTAGCATCCTATTACCCGTTCGACACTTACGATATGATTACGAGACTTCATGACACGTTCTTTTACTATTCATTCTCACTCAAGCGTTGCATCATTGGAGTTTTGGCTACGGCCTGGGAACATTCTTTTGTAGCGAACAACAGCATCTAGGACGGGAGAGGCGGCTACATGACGTCAGCGTCTCGCGCAGTCTCCTGTCAGAATGGCTGTTGAGATATACATACGCTTATACACTGTGGGTTCCGTATATCATAATATACCCTGGTCATACACAGACACTTATACGATTTGGTTTATGCATATCAAAAGTGTACCCTGGAGGTACACGCTGCGCTACAAATGTTTCTGTAAGAGATGGAAAGGCACTGTATACCTTCAGAGAGAACTTTGGTGTGACGTTCAGTGAAAGGTGAGCGGCGCTTGTAAGCTACACGTTGACCAGATGAATGGTCAAACAGATAGATGAGGTGAGCGGTGAAGATGGTGAGGCCAGTGTCGCGTCGTGCCTTCCGCTTGGGCATGAAGCACGTGGCTGCTTACGTACTCACTGCTCCTTCCCCAGCAACACCGTTTGTTTGGACGCAGAGCGCGACTTAAGTAGAGTTTTTCTTCTGACTCTTCTTCACCACAGCCGAACCTCTCGTCATGGCCCCCCATCCCCTCTTCCCCAAACTCGAGGCGGCCGTCCTCGTGGACGGTCGCCCCGTCAAAGAACATGCTGACCGAGAAGATGCTAATTCCGAGTCCAAGGTAGTCTACATCGAGGCTGAAGCGGGCGAGCAGTTTGGCGTCCGATTCTTCATCCCCGGCTACGTCTTCGACCGCCACTCCATCAAGGTCATTGTCAACATCGACGGTGTTGACATGCGCAAGTTCATCTTCGAGAGGCACAAGTACAACCTCTACGGCATCACAAGACAGGTCAACGACAGCAGCGCGCTCATCGGCCACAAGTACCTCGGCCAGCGCTTCCGCTTCGCTGATCTCAACACCCGTAAGTCTAGCCAGTGCGCATTGGTGCCATGCCGCTAACAGATCCAGATGATGACAACTACGAGATTGACCACGCGCTTTGGAAGCAGCTGAAATGGACTGGCAACATCTCAATCACCTTTCACCGGGTCACTAACGTACGCTTCGCCCGCGCGTGGAAGGACGTGCCGTCCATGCGAGAGTACGACGAGGTCCCTGAGAAGGCACTGAAAGGCTCATCTGTCTCGCACAAGACAACGTATGTATAGCATAACCTCCTCCCTGCAAAGCGCTAACAGTTTTGGAAGCCTCGACCCGCTGCACCGCATTGCACCCGTTACATTCATGGACGCAGACTATGTCGACAGCCCTTCCCGCCCTCTTGCTGAGATCGAGTTCCGATACCGGTCGAAGGAAGCTCTCAAGTACCTGTCCATAATCCCCCGCACACCTAGCCCAGAGCCCTTCAAGGAAGATCTGTCGGAGGAGAAGGTGCAGAAGATCTACGTAAGTGTTCTTCATTACATCATGTCAAGACGCAAGCTTACAGAACACCGTAGCTCAAGCACGAGGAGACCCAGTCTCGTAAGCGCGACCACCCCGATGACGACCATGACTACGAAGACGTAGAGATGGTAGAGGAGCGACCCGCGAAGCGACGCTGCTTCCCTACCAGCACCGACGAAGTCATCTCGCTCGACTGAGGACACTTCAAAGACACGTTGTGGCATCGTACAGCAGGCAGCGCGCATGGAATGCTGAATACGGAGCACCTACTGGATACGAAGTTTTCACTGGAACAGTATCGTGAACTACAAGCAGGCTCATCTACCGCCAGGGTTCATGTTCACTAGCATAGCATCGGATACTGAGAGTCTCATCTTGAATTGATCCCCCATCCTACCATCGTCGGTTCTCTTCTTGGTGTGCTTATATGCTCCCATTCTACCGTGTCATCCCTCCACAGTCTCAATGCCTCTTCTCTAACAGCCAGGGCTCAGGGCGCCGCAGCAATCCCAGCTCCAGCCTCAGCCTCCACATCTACGTACGGCACCAGCGTCTCCCTAACATTTGTCAACCGCTCTAGCACATGCCCCACTCTGACCACATCCTCATCTTTCGTCGCTCGCCCAAAGATATACGCCGAAAACGGCATCCCAGGCGCCACATTAACCAACCCATTCCTCGCGTCCCTCTCCACGGGCGTATCTTGCGGAAACACACCCATGGGCACACTCATGACCGGACTTCCCGCTTTCGCAGCAAAGCTCTGCATGGTAGCACTCAACGTAGGCACAAGCATGACATCGCAACACTTCCTACACAATGCAGCGTCGATACCGCCTTCGCCCGTGTAGTACTCGTCTCTCGCCAGCATATTCTCGTAAAGCAGATCGTTCGGATCGGAAGCCTGCGCCCTCTCCAGACCCTCGACGTTCCGCTGCGGGTACTGTTCGGCCGGGTGTCCTTTTGTGAACGCGATGAGATCTTCGAGGTTACGCACGTTATGCGGGTTTGTGGCGAGGGAGGAGAGGTAGTCGTTTATCGCAATCTTCATATCTGTGTTTAGGACGATGTCTTTGGCTTCTTGCGGAAGGGCGTCCCAGCTTTTAGCCCCTGTGACTTGGACGTTGCGGACGATGGTTGCGCCGGCGCTTTCTAACAGTTTGAGCGTTCTTTCGAATGCTGTTTTCTTGCAGGTGGGTAGATGTTGCATGTCGGACAGGGAGCTAGGGATACCGATTCGTATGCCGTGGAGGTGGGGAATTGAATTTGCAGTGCTGAGATCTTGCACTATCTTCTTTTTCATTTGGGCGGGGAGATGATCGCTGTGTTGAACCATACCGATGAGGAGGAGCGCAGCATCCGAGACTGTTCGCGTGAGCACACCAACGGTATCCAGTCTCTTAGAAGCATGTATGAGGCCTTCGGAGGAGAGAAGATTACGCGTCGGCTTGAACCCCACAATCCCAGATTTCTCTGCCGGAGAAACGATCGAGTAGCACGTCTCCGTTCCCAGCGCTGCAAAACATATCCCCAGTGCAACAGCCACCGCACAACCCCCCGAACTTCCACTTGCTTTCATACCAGGATAGTATATACCCGTTGTCTGGCCTCCCCTTCCACTCCAGCCCGAACACCCGCTCGTGGAACGGAATCCAGCCCACTCGGCCATGTTTCCTTTGCCCAAGATTACCATTCCTGCTTTTCGCACTGCGCTTACCACGTCGGCTTCGTGCGATGGTTTGGCACCGACTAGTGCCATGCTGCCGCATGTTGTGGATGTGGCGTCGAGAGTGGGTATGTTGTCTTTAAGCAGAATGGGTATGCCGTGGAGGGGGCCTCGGGGGCCCTTACTGAGTCGCTCGGCATCGAGGTGCTGGGCGAGTGATGTAGCGTCGGGGTTTATCTCTGCTACGGCGTGGAACGTGGGATTTGTTTCACGAATTCTAGTTAGACAGGCTGACGTTAGGTCGACGGCTGTGAAGAGGCGGTTTTGGTAGCCGGTTTGGATTGTGGGGAGCGTGAGGTGGGCTAGACGTGGGGTGCTTGGTTGTGTGTTGGTGGGTGTGCTGGTAGACCCGCTGGCCAGTATGTCGATGTACGGGGTTGCCATATGTGCGGTTGTTCTAGACCTGCTACTGTATAAAGTCTTTTCGTATCGTTGACGTGGTGGGAACTTTATGTGTTCAGAACATTCGCTGTGCACTCTACTGCTTTCTTACTGGGCCTTGGAGGGCGGTCGCGGCCTCTTTGTCGGATTTATACTGTGTAATGCTACAGCGTTATTGAATCTGTCTGGACATTGACACTCATCATTCACGACCAATGCGAATGTTCTGAGTGACATGAAGACGCCTATATTGATATCTAGACCGGGGAATTTAGCATAGATTGCAGCTTGATCTCGCGAAAACTTCCTAAATGACTGCCATGTCGGCCTCCGCGCTGTCCATTCTCCGGTCTCAGTCCAATACAATGACTTCAGTTTCATCGCTTGGCATCTGTCTGACACGTTCAAGCTTTCTCTTTTTGCGCAGATCAACCGAACGTATCTCGATGAAGTCGTCGTCGCAAGCTATGACTGGACTATCGACGTTGTGGTCGTCGCCTGCCACGGTGGAGGTATCGGAAAGCTCGCGCTTCATGCGTACACGGGTCTCTTCTTGGTCCTAGTAGGTGTCAATGAGGTTCTTGATATGCTGTGAGAAGTGTCGTACTCTGAAGCGGCGGACGATAGACTCTAGTTGTTCCCTGTTCAACTGCCCGAGCACCATATCATCGCTGTCGAGAACGTCGACTGGATCAGGCGTACGCTCGATTATGTGAAGGTCTTTGAGTGCAGCTACGACGTGATAATTAGTGTCTGCTCGATAAATTTAAATGTTGGGAAGCTTACCGAGTGAGCGATAGTAGAAGTGGAATGTCGCAAACGGTTCTCCGCCATCAGCGTAATCTGCATCATAGTACTGAATCTCTTCCGTGGGCTCTGTCTCTCCAAGACTGCGATCACGTTAGCTCTTCGCAACATGCAAGTTGAGTCATACGTACACTGCCTGATGCGACAGCGACTCGCCCTTGATAGCCTTCTCGTTGACCGTATCCAGCCTCTCCAACTCCTTCTGTACGAAGGCGATCTTCGGATTGCGTCTTGCATTGTCGAGGAAGTAGAACTCGCAGGTAATGATACCTATAGGCTGTAGTTTGCTCTGCATATCTTCTGGGATGCGTCCCTCGCTGTACTCTCCTGCACCTCTCTCAGCATGTGCTTATTCTGTAGGGATGAAGATGACTTACTGATATCAAGCGGCGAGAAGCGATAGTGCTGTGTGAACCAATCCTTACCATCGTTCGATATCGGTCCAGAACTGACATGGCCGTTTGCGTCGTACAGCTCGTCGGGGCGAATGAGCGGCTCATCAACATCCTTGCCATCGATGGTGACAATCATAGACACAGGGCGGTCGACGGGGAATGGCGCCTTGAATGAGTAGTGAATTTCGAATGTTGAGTCTGACTTTGCTTCGATGTAGCTTTCGGAGATAGCTTCCGATACGGTGGTGTGGCGGTCGGTGTACTCGCGAAGCGGGTTGCCATCAGCTTGGACATGAACTTCGAGCCCGGGGGCCTCATCTACGACTGCCATTGCGGAAGGTGCGGTTGTAGTGCGATGAGAGGTCAGCGATGAGGGTAAGAGGAAGCCGCGATAGGTCTACGATGCGTAGAATATGTTGAAGGTGTATTCTAGTAAGAAGACTTCACCTCGACTGAAGATGTCAGTGCTAGAGCGCAGAAGCCGAGGTGAAGGCGAGTATTGGAAGGTGAGAGAAGTTGGCCCAAGAGTTCTCGGCTCCGACGCGTCACGAAAATCGCGCGCTTCAGTACGAGAGGTGAACGTGGCTGCCGCGTTGGTGGCTCCTTCCCTCCAAGTAACCTCAGAGTTGGCGCAGATTTTAGCGCCCCAGACGAACGAAGGGTGTAGAATGACAAAACCGAATGTTAAACTACGCATGAATAGATGGATACGAAATAAAAGATCGTCCGATAATGCTACCAGCATTGCCGCGAAGGATGACGATCAAGCGATCGTGCCCAGGTGTTTACGCCAGAAGCACGCGAGTTCCTCAAACTTGCTTAACGTACCAGCCCTTCGACTTGCATGAAGGATGCGCTCAATCATCCAGAGCCACGACCTCATCATCAGGACCAGGCATGCGACGTATTCTCTTCACAATCGGATGTGCCGGCTGGCTGCCGATCCACTCGACCTCATCACCAACTAGAGTATCCTCACTGCCTTCTCGCTCTTCCTCGCGTTCGCGCTTGATCGTGATTGCTTTCTGTTTCTTCTCCTGTTTGATGGTCAGTAAAGACTCCTGAATCGCATGCCTTCGACCTGTGATGCGACTTACGCGCATGCTTCTAACCACAGCTCTCAACTCTTCCTCGGTCATATCTTCTGGATCCCTGTCTTCAGCCTCTAATTCAGGCTCCGGAGATGGGCTTGGGGTACGCGGGATGACGCCGATGGACTTGAGCGCATCTGAGTGACTGTCAGCTATCATCACGAATTAACTATGTATGCGTGCGACTAACCTGTCGACCTATAGTAGAAGGTGAACGTTGCGAAAGGCTCGTTTTCAGTCGTCTTGACCTCGTTGTAAGTGATGGTATCACGTTGCTCGGGTGCTGTTAGACTGGCGGCCATGTCAGCGATCATCCTTCCTCGTACTGCGCGGGAAGAACGTACCTAGTCTGATGAGACAGTTGATCGCCCTGCATCGCAGCCGCCTTGTGTAATGCCTTCTCGCTGAGAACATCAAACTTGTTACTAGGAAGCTGAGGTACTTCTGCCGGTCTCACTGCTTCCAGATGCTCAATGAAGTAGAAGTAAAGCACAATGCGGCCGATGGGTGACAGTCGATCCGCGAGGTCCTTGGTCATGGGAATGTTGGTCTCATCTAAGCTTTGTCAGCGGCCATTAGGACGAATATTGAGACACCAGGACTCACCGGTCCTCAGCTCAGCAAAGTGGAAACCCTGAGTAAAGCTGTGTCCGCCAGTCGATGAAGTGGATCGTGAGCAAAGGTATCCCTCGCACTCTTCCTTCCCACCCCATTCGACGAACGGAGCTTGCACATAGTTACCGTCTAGCAGCACATCCATCTGTACTGCCGAGGGTGGGGTGAAAGGTGGACGAAACAAATAGCGGATGGAGAAGTTGGCGGCTGATGGCGCTTCAATATACCTAGATGTAGAGGTTGCAACCTCATCGTCGTCGATGATCCCATGTTGGTGTTCCGGTAGTGCTGCCGCGTCGACCTCGATAGTGACTTCAAAACCAGGGATACCCGTTGCGATGGCCATTGCGATGGAACGAAGAGAGAAGAGAAGAAGCCGCGAGAGACTGAGTAGACAATGTCGCTAGGGAACGATTAGAGGGACCAGCCACAAGGATCGCGCTCACTTGAGGCTCACAGTTGCTCAGGTGAGAGAGGCGACCAATATATAAGCCCACAAAATAACTGAGAAAGACGCTGGAATGAGGAAATTCGTACTAAGCCTTGCTTGTACTCGAGGTGACTACGATAAGACCACTCCGCGGTGTCTTGCGCTAGAGTCAATCCTTTACGCCTCATCTATACGCCAGAAACTAGAACAGCGCCGCAGAAAGCTAGAGAGCCTTCGAAAAGAACGAAGAGAAAAGCCAAAACTCTGCCAGGACCATGGTATAGGCACCGATCCATCCCTATGTCAAATCGATAATCTCGGCACCATTCTCATCGAGCGTAATGGGAAGACGTCTACGCTTGGCGGACACGAAAGTAACGTCGTCATCGTCGTTATCCTCGTTGATGATGGTGCTGCTTCGTTCCCGCTTGATACCCTCTCGCTTGATGACTGGAGCGGCGTCCATTTGCCCACGCTGGAGACGAAGGAGCTCACGAGATTCTTCCAAGGTAAGAGTGTTGATGTCGCGTTCTTCGAGCGGTACCGGGCTAGGAGTTCGTGGGATGACGAGGAGGGATTTGAGAGCAGCTAAATGGAATCGGCATTAGTAAGAATACAGCGACCACGGAGAGCTCACACACCTCTCGAGCGATACTTGAAGGTGAACTCTGCGAACGGCGTTTCGTCTATTTTCGTGGTTCTACACGTGCTGTACGCCTGGCTGACTTCTCGGGCGCCGTAGCTAATCATAGTATAAGTATTTGTGAGTATTGGGAAAGAAGCTCGCTGACCTAGCCTGATGAGATAGCGCGCTACCCTTGAGGGCCTTCTCTGGTACAACACCGAGAGACTCGTTCTTCTGCGCTTTAGCTTTGGGAGTCGATGATCCGCTAGCTGTCACCCAGTAACAGCGCAAAGATATAACACCCACGCTATGGAGCTTCTTCTTCAGTGAGTCCTCAAATTTGCGTGTATCACCGTCATCTGAAGCAGAAGTCAGCGACCCGGTGACTCAAGAGACAGGGAAAGACGTAACCATCAATTTCGAGCTGCGAGAAACAGAACTTCCTCACAAAGTATCCGCCATCTTCGAATTCCCGCGATCCCTTGAAGACATACGTGCTGTTCCAGCGGACAGAACTGCCAGGGTTGAAGACAGCAGAGTCGGCATACTCGCCATCAATCTCCAACTCAACCAACATGGCGTGACGTATGCTGAACCCAGGAGAGAAGCGGTATTTGACTTCGAAGTTGTCACCAGACGAAGCTTCGATGAATTTAGTAACCTCGTTATCCGAAGTTTGATCATCGTCGTCGACGTGCTCCTCAAGCGGAGCGTTCTTGACGAATACTTCGACTTTGAGTTTAGGAAGCGCTTTGGCGATCGCCATCTTGAAGATGGTGGTGGGCTGAAGACAGAAACGAGCGGGTAGAACAGCAGATGTCGGGTGTGCTGGGACAAGGTCCAGCAGCGTCTGTGGCTGCGAGAGACCCGCAGCGATGAAGGTGAGGATGAGACGTGATGAGCGCGGCGCAGGTGCGGCCTCAGCCCCGGGGTCGTGATTACCGCCGTGGATTCGCGCCGCAGCGCTAGCGCGCGTTGCCACGTGAAAGTGCCAAACAATGCGTTCAGGTGCAAAGAACATCCCGACACACCATAGTCAGCAACATCCAAGCAATGCGAAGATTGCATCAAAGAAACAGTCAGTATATACATAAAAAAGTCTATTCATCTCCATACTCCAGTCCAGCCCAGCTTTCCACCCACCTATATACCATCCATCCATTCCCATCCGCTCTCTCAGTACCGAGCATGGTATCATTCCTTCCTTCCCCCAAGTAACAAAGTAAAGAAAAGAGTGCAATCCGTCGCCGCACGGTAACCCCTAAACCGGGTACATGACTTGTAATAATGACAAAACATTACGCCCCCAAAACAGGCGAGGACAGGAATGCACAAAAGATCAGAGGTTCGGGGTCTTCTTTGTGGTGGATGTCGCAACCGGTACGCCAGTGCAATGATGGAACGGCCCTGCCATATGCTGTTGTACGTGAATAAAGACTGAAAGGAAACGCTATGCAGTCGTTATCATGGGAATATGCCTCCATGCAATGGTATCTTTCGCGGGTATGGATTAGGCCGTAATTGTTGGGAGATCGCCATGGTAGTAATGCTGTGATGAATGGGGACTGTAGTGAGGCGAAATGGTGATGACGGTCGATGGTCAAAGGGCGTTGCTGTCGATCTACCAAGCGCCTATGCTTGCGGGAGAGCCAGTTCCGTAGTTTCCGCTCAGTAGCTGCTGGCGGATGGACATGGCATCGTTGGACCCGCCGGTGGCGGGATTGGGTGTCTCTGCGCCCATCCAGCCGAGTCCTCCGCGTAGCTCATTGACTGCCTCCTGCATCTTTCCGCCCGAGATCTCATTGTGTTTCGCAATCTTCTCGTCCCATCCGCCGTATTGGAGCTGTATTCCGCCCGCCTTCTTTGCTGCCTCCTGGATGACCATCGCCCACGCCTTGGCCATCTCCTCGTATGCCTCTTGCTTGTGACGGTTGTGTTGGTACGTATCCCAGTTGGGTAGTCGATGGATGATCTCGGTGGCACCATCGAGGAAGGCGAGCGATGTGGCGGGCTGGTGTTCGTGCGGCGGGAGGAAGTGAGGTGTGAAGTCTTTGAGGGAGTCGAGCAGTTCATCAAGTTGTTGCCGCACCCTATTGTATGCATAGTCTGATGACGCACGGCCGCCAAAGGGGAAGGCTGCCTGGAACGCCGCCTCGTACTTTGACAGGACCTCCAACGTTGACTGTATGCTTGGCCGGGGCGCGGTTGTGACGACTTCGTTGCCGATGTCCGGGTGGCGCTGGCAGATGGACTGCAGCAGGTTGCGCATCTCGTCGGGGCTGAGCGTCTCGAGGAGGCGAGGGAGCGGGAGCGGGCGGCCGGAGATGTTGGTTCGCATGCGCTTCATGCCTCGCGGCGCTGGTCGTGGGAGTACGGCGGAAGATGTGGTTGGCGATGCACTCATGCGGTCGTCGTCACCGCCGCTGCCATCGTCCTCGGCTTTCCGCTTGCGGCCAGTCATCGCGGCGGAAGGGGGGAAGACTGCGTGAGGGTGAAAGTTAGTGGCTGACATGGAGTTGAGGTGTTGAGAGCAGCGGGTAGACGTACGGTTGCGGGAGGGAGAGCAGCGGTTGTTGTTCAAGAGATGAGGGGGCGTGAATGTCTGCTGGTACTGCACACTCATGACGAGGAAAGGGCCCGCAAACGCAGTGATTTCGCACGCCTGCTTTGTTGGGAGCCGGATAGCGATGTCTGGGTGGTGATGCAATGGGCGGGCTCTCGTTGCGTGGGCCGTGGGCGGTGTCGGGTGTTGTGTTGTTGCTGTGGTGGAGACAGCAGAGCCATACGAAGGCCCAAGAATATGCTAACAACCGGCAAGTCCGTGCACGCAACCAATCACGTCACATGTCACACATGTCAACCACGGTAATTGTCCTTTCATCTGGGGTTGAGGTTGAATTCTCTCGCCAGTTTTGCTTTGTCCTAAAAGTCGCCCCTTCATTGCACTAACTTCGGGAGGTCCTTTATCAAAAAGAAAACCTCAGCGGCTAAAGCGGCACCCTAAACAATCCCATGGTATCTCCCTATAACTCCGTACGCGATACAAATACAAGCCACCTCAAGCAGAGCCTTCACCTACTACTCGCAGAGCTTGATGAACTCGGTGTACGAGTCTGCACGGGCTCGATGGCTAGGCTATCGCTCCGCGGCGCCAGGCCTTCAGGCCAACTGCGCCTCTCGCGATGTTCAACCGAAGGTAATCTCTCATCCTCTTTATTTACACTCAGCCTCTTCTTGACTTTACTCCACCTTCTGAGCTTTTCGCTCATCGACCCTCGCCGCCTACCCTCGGCTTCTGATTCTCTCCTGGTCTTTTCGTCGCGTACGGGATCGGATAACTGCCGAGACGCGGCAAGTGAGTTGAGGTATATCGGATACAATGCGCCAGCAGCGTAAGCCGCTGCAATGACGCAGAAAGCGTATTGTGCGTTTTTGATCTTAAGCGCGGCATACATTATCGGTGGGATAACGGCCCCTCCACCGATAGCTGCCGTCAGAAGTACGGAAGCGTCTTTGGTGTGCTTGCCCATACCCCGTATCCCTTGTGCAAAAATCTGCGGGAAAAGCGGGCCTTCAAAGAACATGATGATGACAATGATGGCTGCACCGCCACTGCCAGAAGCATGCATTGCTGCGGCAGCGGTTGCAATTGCGCCTAGGTAGAAAACCAGAAGACTAAAGCGTGGCTTTACCCAAATGTCGATGAAGGCTGCCAGGAACCGAGACACCGCGAAAGCAGTGTGTCCATAGGCTTGCTGTGACACATAATCCACGGAGGGCGCGACGCGGTTGAGGTACTCCTTGTACGAAGTGGAGGTGGATTCTTGGCCGCCAACGTAACAGAATTGAGATAAGACCGCCATACTCAGACCAATCCAAAGAACTTTGACTGGCTTGGACCCAATCTTGATGGTGGCCTCGCGGGCAAATGGCACAGTGCGTTGACTGGCTAGTTCTAGCTCTTCGTCGGTAGCTTCAGGAAGCGGGACGTAGAAGTATATGATTGCAAGAGCGATGTTGAAGAGAGATATGCCGAGATATGTCCACTGCACATCAATGAGGCTGGCAGCGTTGGCGGGGAAGAGTACTTTCTTCGCCAAAAGTGGGGAAACAATGGTGCCGACAGCCTGAACAGCCTGTGAGAGATTCAATCGCACTTCCGCATACTCAGGCGGTCCGCATAGTGCTATGAATGGGTTTGCGCCGAGTTCCAATGTCGATAGTCCCGCGCCGGTAATGAAGTTTGAGATCAGGAACGCTGGGAAGGAATTGAGCACAGCTGAAGGCCAGAAGACGAGGGTTCCGCAAGCATAGACTGAAAGACCGACCATGTAGCATGCCTTGAACCCCCAGGCCTTGAAGACGATCCGTCCAAAAGTCAAAGGTCCCACAATGTAGCCAACATAATAGGCACTATGTTGTCCAACTGTCTCCCACTCGCTCGTGCGAGCTACTTCTTGAAAGCGCGAATTGAGTACGTCCAGGAAACCATAGGCAAACCCCCAGATGAAGAACAGTATGGTTACCATGATCACGGGATATACACTTTCTCGGTTGCTCCGGAGGGTGATATTCTTTTTCTGCCCAGTGTTGACGAAGTCGAAAAATGTTGGTGGGCGTTGGGTGCGGGTGGTGGTGGCGTAGGTAACAGTGGTGTTGGACGGTCTCAGTTGAGGCAATTCGGTCATGTCAGGCGTAGTCAAAAAGTCCATCATACCCATCGGCTCATCACCACCGCTTCTACGAGCGAGAGGAGGTTTGCTGAGTGGGGAAGCGGGAGGCGTTAAGGGGTCTGAGCGCCGCCGAGAATCGAGTATGTCGGGATGAAGTACAGCTTCGTCGCTTGTATGGGTAGTGTTGTCGCGCATAGTATGGTCGATGACCCAGCTAGGTAGGAATCTCTTGACTAGGGGTTTCAGGGCGGGAACGCATCCACACATGATACCCAAATTGATCTCAATGGTGCTCCACATGAATGATAGAGATGAGAACCACGCAAAATCGCCAGTGTTCCTCTGTTCGTTGCCAGATTCGGAAGACTGCTGTTGTGCGGCTTCAAGAGTATCGCGCTGAGCATCTTGCAGGTATGCGATACGAATGACATCGACGACTGCGACAAAGATACCGAAACCAAAGGTAATAACGAGGATCACCTTCTGTTTCCTCGGCAGCCGCATACTAGTGAGTATTGGCATCGGCAGGAATAATATGGCTATGTCGGTGATGATGTTGAGCGGTGCCGAGGAAAGGTATATCGTGACGATGTTGGTGCAGTGAGCAGTGTCGGGAACGGGAGAAGCCCAAGCGGCGCCAATAGGACGACACTGACATAGATTCAGGATTGTCAGAGCGAGCCCGCCGACATTGACGACGACAAGGGTGGCAATGGTGGCCCATCGGAATACTTTGTGTGTCTTGGACAGCGTGAGGTAGAAGAGGAGGATCGAGGTTTTGGTGGCCATCAAAGCTGGATTCTGTGGGGATTTAGTGCTGGCGGCTTATGGATACAAAGTCCTGTACGTACGTAGAGTACCGAGAAGACAAAGGAGGACTTCTTCATGGGCTCTTGCCATTGCGCGGGTATGTTCTCTTGCTTCCGCCCCAGGCCTTTGGTAGTGCCGTAGCATATCGAGAAGGATGCGCCAAACGCGAGGACCCAGGCCAGGATCATTGTGTAGTCGTCCCATCCCGGCTTTCTAACCACCAGAAATCGGGAGATGAGACGAAAGCCAACGAAAACGGAGCATATGGCAAGCGTCGCAGCCGACACTCCCAGTACCACAGGTCCTCGCGTAGGGAAGTCGCCATTGGTGAAGTCAAGATCCGTCATGTCGTGCGCCGCGCTATAACGTGTATATCGATGCCATAGAGGAGGACGGGCTATTGTTTACGGAGAGCGTTGGTTCTATCGCGGGCGCGGTCGTCTCGGGATCTGATATTCAGGCCACGGCATTCTCTGGCGCCAGCCTCGTCGACGGGTCGTATACGGGCGATGGGTGTGGTCTGGGAAGGAGCGATGGACAGGGTGCCGACA